ACTATAGTCAGAATTTTAATTAGATTCCAGATTTGACAATAGCTACTGTCATTTTGTGAAATAATGATACCACATATAATAGTGTAGTGATGAACACAAAAATCGATAAACAATCAGTGTGTGTGTTTTATAATAAATGTTACAGAAAGTGACAGGATAGCGATAGCGATGACGGCGACAATTTATAAAATAACTTATTACCATAATACATCTATCTGTTTTATTTGTCATGTTCCTTCATGATTACATTTTTTTATTTATTTCACACACAATTATAAAAGAAAAGTCTCAGATCGTTAATTAATCGTCAAAACTAAATTATCGGTTCAGAAATATTTAATTTCCTGATATACTTAGTTTACGAGAGTAAAATTATAAACGAGAAGAATCGATCCAGAAATATTGCATTTCCATATCGAATAATTTCGCAACGTCACTATTTAGTACTTGTCATAACGTTGCAACACTGAAATTGTCAAATCTGGAATCGAATTAAAATTCCGAGTATACGGCGCTCTGATTGGTTGTTTCATTGGCACCGGCCAATCACAGCGCCGAACGCGTACTCGTTTCGAATACTTTAAACGTAAACCAAACTCGTACTAAGGCCTCTGAATACGGTAGTTGACATGTAGTCGAATTCAATACTTTTTTTGAAGTGTCAAAAACGATACTTTTCTATGAATTTTGTATTGGAGCACAACTTATGACGTCATCATATTTTTGCGTCGAACAGCATACTTATTTTTACCTACCCATAAATCCCCAAGCGGTCACCGGTGACCGCTTTCCACTAATATTACATTACATTATAGACCTTATTTCTAATGTTTAGAGACTACTTTTGTATGACCAAATTTAGGGGATGGATTTTAACGGGTTAAAGTTAGCGAGAAAAAATCCAAAAGTAGGTAAATTGTCAAATCAATGGATGAGAGTATGATTATTTTTTCATTATTTATTGCATTAAAAAGTTGAAACAATTTATTTTAAACCTAGGATACTAGCCGATTACACACACTTGTAATTGTTGTATCATCATTGAACTTGGCAATAGGGTAGATGACGAATTTTTATTTTAATGTCCGTCTAAAACATTAGACACGTATTTTTTATTTTCTTACAGAAACGAATAGTTTCGAAGATATATTGATTTGAAATGTCGCGTGACGTCACTTTTGAGTATGGTTTATACTCTAAAATGACGTAGCTACCTCCCACTCGTAAACTTTGATTCGTTTTATCTAAGTATTGTTTTGTTATACGACAAAATAAAAAAATACGTGTCTAAAATTTTTTCATTACGTAATTGACGGACTAATTAGATTTTTAATTTTCTTACCCTGTCATCGCTATTGTATATAGATTAGATGACAATACAAAATTATGATGCCATCGAGCTGGTCTGATGATGGAACCTTGGACTGACTACTAGTAAACATATTATCGAATTTGTGGTCATTAGACATGTCCATTTCTTCAGATGAAAAGGACATAACATCACGCCTTTCATCCCCGAAGTGGTATGCAGAGGTGTACATTAATGCCACTGTACAATGTAACACCCACTTTTCACTATTCATGTTATGAGTCCCATGTTGCCTCGTTAACCGAGTGGTCGCAAGTGCGACTGCCGGGCAAGGGGTCTCGGGTTCGAACCTCGGGTCGGGCAAAGTATTACTGGGTTATAAAAAAATCTCAGTAGTAGCACGGAGTCTGGAAATGCGCCCGGTATATGGCAATAGGCTTACCCCCTATTACATGGGACTCATAACATACATTTTGGAAAGTGGGTGTCACTTCTGTGTGCAGCTCTGCCTACCCCTTCGGGGATAAAAGGCGTGATGTTATGTTATGTTTGTAATAGGGGGTGAGCCTATTGCCATAAACCGGACACAATTTCAGACTCTGTGCCACTACTGAGTTTTCTTAAAAACTCCCCCCCCCCTCTTGCCCCTCGCCCGGCAGTCGCACATGCGTCCATTCGACCAACGAGGACATATCATTAAAATCCATTTTTTAGTTTGTTTAACTATAAATTTATTTGTTGTAGCCTCCGAACGAAGGACAATCCGAGACGACGAGTAGAGAGTTACAGCAGGGCGATGGAACGGGTGCCAAGTGAGTATATTGATGTACCGGTAGATGGCGCCACTTAGTAGTGTGCTTAAACTTCTTGTAATGTGAGAAAAAGGGATTCGGAATGGGACAGGACAATTCTGAGGCCTTAGTACGAGTTTGGTTTACGTTTAAAGTATTCGAAACGAGTGTGCGTTCTGCGCTGTGATTGGCCGGCGCGAATGAAACAACCAATCAGAGCGCCTTGGACTAACTACTAGTAAACATGTCGAGTTTGTGGTCGTTAGACATGTCCATTTCATCAGATGACGAGGACATAACATCACGTCTTTCATCCCCGAAGTGGTATGCAGAGGTCGACATTACGGCAGTTAATGTCGCTGTACAATGTAACACCCACTTTTCACTATTCATGTTTTGAGTCCCATGTAATAGGGGGTGAGCCTATTGCCATAAACCGGGCATAATTTCAGACTTCGTCCTACTACTGAGTTTTTTTTACAAAGTCCCTTCTTGCCCCTTGCCCGGCAGTCGCACATGCGTGCATGCGAATGAAACAACCAATCAGAGCGCCGAACGCGTACTCGTTACGATTACTTTAAACATAATACAAACTTGTACTAGTCGCGGAGAACCTAACGGGTAACCGGGGCTCCGGCTCGACGTGCAGGAGAAGGAACGGGGTGGTATTTAGTCAGTAAGGTTTTAGGCATTAAATGCCGTAATGTGCACCTCTGCCTACCACTTCGGGGATAAAAGGCGTGATGTTATGTAATATTTGTTCCAGGCCCCCGGAGGAAGGTCCGGATGACATTCAGAGTATGGGCAGCGCGGAGAGCCACGCCTCGCACGATACTGGAGACGACGCGGAGAGCGGAGATGGCGGTATGTATACTATACTATCATAAGTACATATAAGTATAGTATAAGTAGCCTACCTTTTGCCCGCGACTTCGGTCACATTGAATAGTGACTTCTGGCAGATTTTTTGTTTTACCCACTTAGCTCTCAGATCCCTCACTATTTTTAAGAAGTTTCAGCTCCCGCGGTATTTTCATTTTCTATATAGAAACTATCCTATCTCCTTTCTCAAGTTCCAAACTATATCTGTACCAAATTTCACACAAATCGGTTCAGTAGTTTAGGCGTGAACAAAAGACTTCGCAATTATGATATTAGTTGGGATTAACACTTGACTGCCTCGTTGGCAGAATGGTCGCAAGTGCGACTGCCGGGCAAGGGGTTTCGGGTTTGACTCACGGTTCGAGCAAAGTACTGGGTTTTTAAAAAAATCTCAGTAGTAGCACGGAGTCTGGAATTGTGCCCGGTATATGGCAATAGTCTCACCCCCTATTACATGGAACTCATAACATGAATAGTGAAAAGTGGGTGTTACATTGTACAGTGGCATTAACTCGTTGAGTACCGGTTTTGTAGACACAATTATAGAACAATAGGTTGCGGTCACCGGTGTCCGCTTGGTGTTTGACAGTTTAAATGCCTACACCTCGTGATGTTACTACATATTACCACTAAAATTGATAATATAAGATTTTAAATAAATTATTTCAAATATTAGTGGGGTCTGGGCAACCGGCTGCCGCGCAACGTATAGCGGGTTCGATTCCCTCACGGACCAACTCTTTGTGTGATCCACAATTTGTTATACCGTTGATCGAATTGTCTGTAGCGGAGAGTGTGGGCGAGGGCGCGGAGTGCGCGGAGGGCCAGCTGGCTCCAGCGGAGCGCGACAAGGACACCGACTCCAACCCCACCTGCGATCTGGACGACTGTGAGTGACTCATAAATATTCAACAAGTATTAACTAAACATCGCGGGTTACTCACGTGAATATACTGAGAAAAGCTCTACTAGTTTCGAACGACAGAGGGGTTCTTCCTCATGAGCAGCGTGCGCGGTCGCGGCGACGTCGCGCAGCATACGAAACCGAAACCTGCCTCATTAAGTGCGACTGCCGGGCAAGGGGTCTCGGGTTCGATTCCCGGGTCGGACAAAGAATTACTGGGTTTTTAAAAAATTCTCAGTAGTAGCACGGAGTCTGGAATTGTGCCCGGTATATGGCAATAGATAGGGGGTGAGTACCCCCTATTACATGGAACTCAGAACATAAATAATGAAAATTGGGTGTTACATTGTACAGTGGCATAATGTGCACCTCTGTCTACCCCTTCGGGGATAAAAGGCGTGATGTTATGAAATGAAATGAAATGAAATCTTTATTTGTGATACATAGGTACATTTTGTTGGTCATTTTTAGATTAAAGTGCGCTATGATCAGCCTATTTTAGCCATACAAATACTCGTATAAGAGTTTAATGGCACCACCGCTATGTTATGTTATGTAACCCGCGATTTTTAGTTAATTTAGTATGTCTCACGATGGTTACTATAAAAACATTCAAGAAGTATGTAGTGCGTAGTGGCCTGGAGATTTCGAGGATTCGAAACCTACCACCAGCAAGTACCAATGTGACTTTATCCGAGTTATATGTACTTTCTAAGATTATTTAGACACCACTGACAAACGGTGAAGGAAAACATCGTGAGGAAACCTGGGCTTATAATTTCTAATTATAAGCTTGAAATCGCCAACCCGCATTGAGCAAGCGTGGTGGTTAATGCTCAAACCTTCTCTGTGTGAGAAGAGACTTTGCTCAGCAGTGGACACTTATAGGCTGTTGTATGTATGTACGTACATTGCTGTACTTGCCGTTGGTAGGTCTCGAAGCCGCGCCGTCGTGCATGAGAAGCGAACGGCTTATACCTCCGGGCAAATTCGACATTTTTTTTTTAAAAGTTTGCCCCACATTAGGATTTTCTCCTGTGTCGTGGGTGCGTTTACAAACATACAAGTTCACATACACATGACACCCAGACCCGAAACAACATTTTGTGGATCACACAAAATGTTGTTCCGTGCGGGAATCGAACCCGCGTCACGTTGCACGGCAGCCGGTTGCCCAGCCACCGCACCAACCGTGCAGTCTAAATAGAACTAAAGTAAATAAAAATCATTATTTTAATTTCAGTATCAGAATCGGACGCGAACTCCCTTGGACTATCAACATCGTCATCACTAGATTCAGCATCAGAATTACTCCTCGCCGCAGCGGCTGCAGTGGAATCCCGATCCCGATCAGGATCCGGATCCGGTTCCGGTTCAGGATCCGGTGGGGACGCGGCCCCGGCTCAGCTTTGTCGTACAGTGAGACATCTGATGCGGTCCATCGCGTCTATCGAGAGGTTGATGGATCGAGTGCTGAAACATTGCGACGATTGGCCCGCGCCGCCTACTAGAAACGATCACGAGACCAGGTAGGTTAAAGTGAAATTGCGTTTTTATTTATTTACTAAGTTAAATAACCTTATTTAATTAGTTGAATGCCATTAAAACTTGCTCGTTTACCGGTTTATGCGATAAAATAAAAGAGACGACTGAAACGAAACATTCTCCAAGATGCACATCATGCACGAGCAGACGGATCACCTGATGGTAAGCAATCGGCGTCGCGCATGGACACACGGAACACTAGAGGCGTTACAAGAGCGTTACCGACCTTTTAGGATTAGGAATTTGAGGATTGTTGAGGATTCAGGGAAAGGGGGAGGGTAATTGGGTAGGTTGGTAACTCTTTGATTCTTTCCTGTCAATCAACTGGTGTGCCAGCATATTTGAGTGATTAGGGTCGTGCAAGACGCACTCAAATATTTAAAAGTATGCGATATAGGTCGCTACCCTGAACACGACCTTATAGAGAAACCTACTGCTTAATGTCCCACTGGCGACAGATAACATTAAAGACGTGTTATAAAAAAATGTATACTTAAAGTTATTAATTGTTAACAGGAAACGTGTAGACATGGGACTATCTGAGGTGGACAGGAAGCTAATGGCGATGTATCGAAGGCTACCGGAAGTGCATCGTAGGCAGCTGCAAGTTTATAGGAAACAAAAAAAATTATCCACTGTAAGTATTGTATTCCAGCATTTAAGTAGTATTGATCACCCCTTCTATTTACGCGGGTATTGTTAACCCGACTCGATATTAAGTATTACGACATAATATGTGAATGACGAATGGTATTAAGACGTGGTCCCTGACCTCTGGCCTTCCGGAGAAGCTCAAAGTCGCTCAGCGTGCGATGGAGAGAGCTATGCTCGGGGTTTCATTGCGCGACAAATACCGAAATATGGAAATTCGCTAAAGATCTAGAGGTACCGACATAGCTTGCGAAATCTGCAGACTGAAGTGGCAATGGGCAGGCCACGTCGCTCGACGGACTAACGGCAGATTGGTCAGGAAAGTCCTTGAGTGGAGACCACGGACCGGAAGACGTAGCGTGGGCAGGCCTCCCGCTAGGTGGACCGACGACATCGTCAGAGTTGCGGGGGTCAGTGGATGCAGGTGGCGAGTTGTCGTTCAACGGCCTTTGTCCAGCAGTGGACGTCTTCCGGCTACTAATGAATATTAGAAATAAAAAATGGAAAAATTTTAATGGGGCCACGTTTAGAATTAGGGTATCCCTTCTCCCCCTATAAAGGGGGATGACTTCGGCAATCTAAAGGTGACACTTAAAGACAATTTGCGTGGTTTTCACCAATCTAAAAGGGAGCACCTTTCACGTGAAAATCACGCTAAGTAACTACTGTTTAAGAGGTGGCTTCGAGGTGGTTGCTGCCACTTTTTCTTCCTCTTGGTACTTGAGAACCTGCTCCATGCCCTTATTCAATTCGATTCATACGGATGACGTATTCAATTGGCCGTCAATGGCGGATTAGCCCAGATTTTGTTTGTCGTGTATTGTTATTGTTATATAGCTCAGCCCCCTCCCCCCTGTTGTAGGTGTGCATGCAGCTAGTGGGGGGCCTGGCGCCGGCGCCCCCTCCCCCTGGTTCCCCGCCCCCCGCGGCCCCCCCGCAGGCCTGTCGTGCGCTCTGTCCCGAGTACCATCTGCAGAGGTTTAAGGAGGTAATCATAATGATAACTACATATATTACAGTTGGGTACTTGCCAACGAGTCAAATTCAATACTTTTTCGAACTGTCAAAAACGACAGTTTTTTATGAATTTTGTACGAGATTGTGTATTGTGACGTCACGTTTTTTTTTAGCGTCAAACAGTATACTTATTTCTTAAAAATTTGCTGGAAAAATACTAAAATTAAGTTGGTCATAAAATCATTTAATGAAAGTGTGATTATTTTTAATATATTACTGTGTAGAACACTCGACATAATTTGTTTTTGATTAAGGCAAGTATCCAATACTAGCTACTCCTGCGCGGTTACACTCACTGCTCGGCTCCCTTGATAGTAGCCTTATATTTTATTAAAGCCTTCCTCCGTAAATGGATTATCAGTTACATGGGACCATTAAAGGGATCTTGAAAATAAATAACTCATTTTGTCCCCCTTAAAGAGGGGATGGGGGTGGCCGAAATTAATTGTGTTTTCGTCAGTTATGTTACAAGTCCCATTGATGGGATTCATCAAAAGAAATGTTTGTGATTTTAATTCCATTTAGGTTCGAATGGAAGGCCCTTGGATTCTCATTCTCATCCCCCCTCCCGGAGGGGGACGGAATGACGCAAGCGCAAACTGAATAAAATAATATCGTTTTAAATTATTATGTTTTTCGGGTTACTCACGTAACTGTTTGAACGAGGATATCGACTAGTTTCTAGCCATGCTAGAGGCTCATATTCATTAACAGCGCGGCAGTTGCTACGTCGCGGTTCGAGGAATACTTTGAATACGAGCCTCTAGCATGGCTTGAAACTAGTCGAGTTCCTCGCCAGTATGTCTCACGAAAGTTATGATATAAATATCGTTGTATTGTAGGTCCGACGTAAAGTAATGCACATGCGCGACCAACAGCTCTACTACCATAGACTACGGATGTGGCTGGAAGATCAACTCAGGCAGGAGAGGGAGAGGTAGGCATAGACAAGATTATATACTTATTATTTTTATAAAATGAGGATGTAAGGCGGCAATGAAGTAACGTTGGCAATTACACGCACAGAAAACAAAGAATATAAAAAAATAAAAATACATAATATATATAAACAAAATACTAATAATAAACTTACAAGAATACAGATCAGAACAGAAAACATCACAATATAACAAAATAATAATACGATGATAACAGAATTTTGAATAGACAAAAAAAATGTAATAAACAAAATAATAATATTAATTTGCGCGTGCTCATGCCAAAAGGGCCTCCACCTCAGCATATGTTGGACGTTTGTGCCCAACGCTGGTTTCCAGGTGGCACCCTGCAGTGACTCCGACCCTGCAGTGATTTTATTTAAATATAACAGAGTTTTATTTAAATAAAATATCTAGTTTTGTTTATTAAAAACTAGTTAATATTATTATTTCCTTTATTTATTTCAATAAATAATAAAAATAAATAAAATAAAAATCATTTATTTCAGACCACAAAGTCCATAGACATGGCAATTTTGTTAGTGCAGACAATCTACTTATAACTAATGCTAGTCACAAATAATTAAATTCAATTAAATAATTAAATTAAACTGAAGCCCAACGCTAAGTATGGGGGTATACTTGACTTATATATTTTTAAATATTTGATTATGTAAAAAAAAATTAATGTATAAAAAGCAGTAGCCCATCAGTAACGAAAGAAATCCAAGCTACCGGTGGTCAGGGCTCCACAGAAAGGGATTTCCGGACAATACGCACCGTGTCCAAGTACTGCTTTCAGCATCAGGCATATTATTATCATTATTAACCTCTCGCGCGCCTCTCGTACACACGGGTAAATATTTTAATAGAAAAGCCAATTAGATTCTGTTCAATCAAATAAAGAACGGGTTGCAAACTTGAAAATATACGTCACAGAAAAAATATCCAATCGGCGCCCGTTTCTCGTACACCCGTGTGTACAATTGCGCGATGGGCACTCAACTCTCTCGTACACCCGTGTGGACGAGAAACACGCGAGACGTTAACTAGTTTTTAATAAACAAAATAAACCAAGTAATATTGAAATACAAACATAGGTATAACAGAGAATTGACAGTTAAATGTCAATGCTTCAACCCGTCAATCGTAACCCGCGATTTTTAGTTCATTAACGCTGAAATATTCAAACGCCACTCGAATAAGTCACACTTAACTAGTTCTGTCTCCACAAGTTCTTTGTAAATGACAAAGATGGCATGATATTTAAGTACTACTTTACTGCATGATTCGTGCGGTGGTTGGGCAACTGTCTGCCGCGCAACGCATTGCGGGTTCAATTCCCGCACGGAACAACTCTTTGTGTGATCCACAGATTGTTGTTCCGGGTCTGGGTGTCATGTGTATTTTGTAAACGCACCCACGTAACAGAAGCAAACCTTAGTGTGGGTTTTATCCTTTTTTTTTAAGGGGGAAAATCATCAAATGACTGCTCCCGCCTGGGTGAGGCGGAAGGGAGTGTCAGACTCTTACTGACTAAAAACCACCCCGTTCCTTCTCCTGCACGTCGAGCCGGAGCCCCGGTTACCCGTTAGGTTCTCCGCGGCTCCGAGTGGGTTTTACCCCAGTGGGTGGTTTTTAGTCAGTAAGAGACTGACACTCCCTCCCGCCTCACTCACCGGTGGGAGCAGTCATTCGATGCTTTTCCCACATTAAAAAAAAAGTGTGGATTTAAAAAAAACTTAAAATTGAGTAGTATTCAGGCGTTAGTATGTTTCACGATAATTATTAAAAAACAATTTGTTACTAATAACTATTTTATTATCTTCAACAGTCTCCCGGAATCGAACGTAACTTTAATCGAAGACTTACCCCGCCGCAAAAGGCGGACAGCTAGCCCAAAAGTCCCGCGGCTCACAACGGGCTCAAAGCGCAAACTAAAGCCGGTCTCACCATCTATAAGCAAACCACACAAAATACTGCAAATGCTCAAACATAAGGCGCCAGCACAAACTACTCACTTATTAACCGATTTTAAACATGAGCCGAGCAAGATAGAAGTCGATCCGCCTGAAGCTTTCCCCCTAGAAAGAGAAGACAATATAAGTGACACTGAAACTATCGTAGGAGAGAAAGAGACGGTAGATATGTGTAAAGAAATGAAAGAATGCCTTGCCAAGTTCTCCAATTTTGGTTTAACGAACGATGGGAATGAGGAATTTCAAGTGCAAGTCGAAAATAAATATCCCGAGTCTGTCAGTCCGCCCCTACAAGAAATGTCTCCGACTACTCCAGAACCGATGCCCGTGTACACTTCCAAACCTAATCAACGACTGCTATCCGTTAACAAGTTTTTGAAAAAAGATGAAAAAGCAGACTTCAATCAACCGATTTCAACCGAAGTATTGAATATACCACTCAACGCTCGAAGGACTCCAATCTTAGTTAAAGATGAGAAAGAAACTTTAACGGAGCCTTTAGAAAATGATAAAGATCCCAATGTTTATAAGTATGTTTCCTTCGGGCTGGAAATCAAAAAAGCAATGGAGGAATGCCAGAATATAATTAATTCGTATAATAGCATTAAAGATGGACGAAAGGAGGACGACAATCAACTGTCTTTAGAACAGATCTGTGAAGTAATGATGACGTTAGATAAAAATTCAGCGGAATTTCTAGACAAAATTGACACTGAAGAATCTATAGATCTTAATTCGGCGAACACGAAACTAGTGGAACTTGTTGAAAATATGCCTCAAATATTAGCGAATATGCCAGAAATCGCATCAAAGTTATCTGAATTCGCAAACGCGTCCTTTGAGCTACCAGAATTCGCGTCTATTATGAGCAATCTACCCGAAGTTAATAACGAAGCTCAACTAACTCCGGAGACGTTGAAACAAATACGCGATTTGAAACTAAATAAGGCTAGAGATAACGTCAAAGTCACAAAGAATACTGCGAAAAGAAAAACCCAACGTAGACTCAAAAGTAATGTCGAGTCCAACGATGTAATAGGCACTATGACTTTCGAGTTAGATAATAGAGATATAGTAGAACTACTAAAAGACGAAAAAGACCTTCAGGCGTTAATGAAAAATAAAAATAAGGATGACTTTAAAGATCTTCTATTCTCAATCTCCGCTCAAGTCGTTATCAACAAAGTTTTTGAATATCTAAAGCAAAACAAGAGTCCGATGTTAGAAAAATGCATGGATGAGGAAAAGGAATTGTTTTCTTTGCCAAAAAGCAGTTTAAATTCAGAAATGTATTCTAAAGCATCTACTTTATTCGAATATTCGGTCAAGGACGCGCTGAGTATGGAGGAATTGAGAGACCTGGTCAAATTAAGATTCAACTCCTGGAAAAATTACGTATCATCAAAATTCAAGGGTATCCCGGTAGAAATACTGGAGAATGAGATCCAAGCCATGATAGACAAGTTCTACAGCTATATACACGATTCAGCTGGAAAAAATTATGCTCCCGACTTTGATAGGATGGCGGCGAAATTCGAAGAGTTAAGGAAACATCATGAAACGCACAGAGACTCCGACTCCGATTCTCGAGAGACGGTCAGACAAATTCTTCTAACGACCTCCGTAGGAAATACTATAGACATACTAATGATGAAATTTCCAAAACTAACCCACGAGAAGAAAGAATTAGTGAAAGGTCTAAACTTTAAGTATATGAGTGTTTTGCACCGCTGTTGTGAATCTCAATCGCTAGCTAATTGGATTCTGACAGATCCTGAAACAGCCATAAATGTGATACAAGAATTAATGGATTACCAAGTGAAGAAACCTGATAACGTGCCAGATTTCACCACAATGTCGAATGATAAGAAACGGGATTACTTTATAGAGAGACTTCGCGATGTTAACAAACAGTATTTGGAGACGTTACCCAAGAAGAATCTGTCAGGAGACGAGTGGCTAGTCATACTATATAAGTTAGAGCAGTACGAAGAGAAACTAAAAGAGAATATTAATAAGGCGACCCCTCAACCGGTTAAGACGACTCAGAACGCCAGTGAGGCGGAAATTTTGGCAGCCAAAGGTCTTAGCAAGATTATAGGTAAAGCTAGCATACGTGTGGTTAAAAAAACCGAACAACCACCTAAGAAGAAAGAGGAACCACCGAAGGTTAATGAAACTGAAGAGAAGAAATGCAAAAATGACGCTCTATTAGCTAAATGTGAAGCGATACTTACGTCTAAAGGCGAGAAATCACTTCTAGACAGCTTTTACACAATCAAATCATATATAACACAAGGTCTGCCAGTCCCTGAAACGTATAAAAAGCACGTCATTAATATATGTTCGTCGATAGACGCGAAACTTTTAGATGAAGATGTAGAAGAAATAAAATCGGAAGCCACAGAAGATGGCAAGGAAAAACCGCCTCTATCGCCGCAAAATCATGAGAATTTAGCAAAATATTCCGCTCAAGCACTTCGCAATGCCAAGCAAACATTGAACGCGGTCGCTTTTAAGAATATCAATAGAAATGGCCAGAGTAAATCTGAGAGCGATGCGTGTGATATACCAAAAAGTGATTGTAAATGGACTAACGACTGTATGTGTAATTCGTGTAAAGATAATGACTCAGCATGCATAGGGGACATGGTGAAAAATTGCTACGACGATAAAAAAGTTGAGAAAAAGAAAGAAGTCAAAAAGCCGGTTGTGAAACCCAAGCCTATTGCGAAAGCGTGCGAGAATGTGAACCATCAACAGCATGTTTGTAAAGGTGAGTTGGTTTCGTTATTTTATTCACACACTAGAAAAAGAAAGAAAGAAAGGAAAACCATTTATTTCTGCGCAAAACACACATAACATATTTAAAAAATAAAAAGAAAATAAAAAAAAGCTAAAAAATTAAAATGAAGTGAGATCTTGTCCATATGGTCCACAGACTTATTATTTTACTGAAATGATAGAATATTCAATATCTAATATTATCTGTGGACCATAGACAAGGAACTAGCTACTTTCGCGCGTTTTCACACGCTCTGCTTAGCTCCTATTGGTCGTAGAGTGTTGTTTTATAGTCTATGGCCATCCTCGATAAATGCGCTATCCAACACAAAAAGAATTATTCAAATCAGACTTGTAGTTACGGAGATTAGCGCGTTCAAACAAACTCTTCCACTTTATATAATCAATACATAGTATAAAACAAAGTCGCTTTCGCTGTATGTCCGTATGTATGCTTAGATCTTTAAAACTACGCAACGGATTTTGATGCGGTTTTTTTTAATAGATAGAGTGATTCTTAAGGAAGTTTTATATCATGCATATTGCACCCGTGCGAAGCCGGGGCGGGTCGCTAGTAGTATATAAGATAAGATGTAGACCGAGATACAAAGATTTTTTTATGTTATTTGAAGATGTAGTTTGTTAGATGTAATAGGGTAGTTGCCAGGGAATGAAAATTAAAAATCTAATTAGTCCGTCAGTTAGATAATGAAAAAATATTAGACACGTATTTTTTATTTTCTCGTATAAGAAAACAATACTTAGATAAAACGAATCAAAGTTTACGAGTGGGAGGTAGCTACGTCATTTTAGAGTATAAACCGTACTCAAAAGTGACGTCATGCGATATTTCAAATCAATATATCTTCGAAACTATTCGTTTCCGTAGGAAAATAAAAAATACGTGTCTAATGTTTTAAATTAATCTACCAGACGGACATTGAAATAAAAACGATTCATCTACTCTATTGTAATGTCTGTCCGTCCGTGTCGCAGTGGGTCACGGCGGAGTGTCGTGTGCCGGCGAGGGCACGGACCAGCCCTGCACCTGCTGCTACTGTACCGTCTTCGGACATGCCGTGAGTATTGCTACATTATAATAAACCTATCTGTCTATGTATGTCGCGGAGAACCTAACGGGTAACCGGGGCTCCGGCTCGACGTGCAGGAGAAGGAACGGGGTGGTTTTTAGTCAGTAATGCCGGCATACTGAAACGTTACTCAATTTTAAGTCGTGCTTAAATATCGTGCCGTCTCTGTCATTTCACAAATAATTAGTGGAGACAGAACTATACTTAAGCGTGACTTAAAATTGAGTAACGTTTCAGTATTCCGACATAAGAGTCTGACACTCCCTCCCGCCTCACCTAGGCGGGAGCAGTCATTCGATGATATTCCCCCCTTAAAAAAAACTATCTATGTATATATTGGACCGCCTCGTCGGCCGAATGGTCGCAAGTGCGGCTGTCGGGCAAGGGGTCTCGGGTTCGATTCCCGGGTCGGGCACAGCATTACTGGATTTGAAAAAAAGAATTCTCAGTAGTAGCACGGAGTCTGGAATTGTGCCCGGTATATGTCAATAGACTCACCCCCTATTACATGCGACTCATAACATAAATAGTGAAAAGTGGGTGTTACATTGTACAGTGGCATTAAGTGCCGTAATGTGCACCTCTGCCTACTCGTTCGGGGATAAAAGGCGTAATGTTATGTTATGTGTGGACTAATTTTGTCTTCAATTTGTTACAGCCGCCTCTAACGACACCTGTGCCTAGAAATTTCAATGAGACTCGGGAACGACTGCGATCTATACTCAACAAGAAGAAACAACAGTGCAAGACTGCTAATGCGAATGTAAGTTAACAAATTTATTTTCAATACAAGTACTATATGTCTCCCATGGGGGTAGACAGAGACTATGGAACGCCAATTAGACCCGAGCGTACGGCGCGTCGCGTTCCGCGCGCGCCTCAAAGAGCCATTAGACCACCACAGATGGGGCCCAATAGGACCGATGCCGATTCGGAGTCGCGGAGAACCTAACGGGTAACCGGGGCTTCGGCTCGACGTGCAGGAGAAGGAACGGGGTGGTTTTTAGTCAGTAAGAGTCTGACACTCCCTCCCGCCTCACCCAGGCGGGAGCAGTCATTCGATGATTTTCCCCCCTTAAAAAATAAATAAATTGTTCTTTAGTTGTGTCTATAACGACGGTACTCAACGAGTTAAATGCCTCCCATGGGGGTAGACAGAGACTATGGAACATTATTACGATTCTTATTGGGAATTATTATTATTTAAAAAAAATATTATTGAAACTGAAGATATGTATTATATTATGTACTAAGTGTAATTTGCTGTGTCAATCGTCGTCATCATCAACAACTGAAAGACGTCCACTGGAGGACTAAGGCCTCCCCCTTAGTCCTCCACGTCGAACGACAACTCGCCACTAGTTCAGTAATCACACAATAACTTTCAATAAACTACGTTAAAAAAACCGACTTCCATATTAACTAAAATCGCTGGATACACGCGAGAAATATACTGAAGCTCTACTAGTTTCGAGCCATAGAGGGGTTCTTCCTTATGAGCAGCAAACTGACACCTGCGTTCTGTCATTAGACCAGGGGCAACCGGTTGCTGTGCAACGTGTCGCGGGTTCGATTCCCGCACAGAACAACACATTGTGTGATCCATAAATTGTTGTTTCTGGTATGTGTGTCATGTGTATGTGAACTTGTATATTTGTAAACTCACCCACGACACAGGGGTAAATCCTAGTGTGTAAATAAATATCATTTCATTTCATTGTCGAAATGTCAAAAATGATGATACTTTTCTATGGACTTTTACACTGAGATTGCAATATATTATTATGACGTCATCATATTTGTTTGTGTCGATTGGAAAATAACATTATTTTTAAAAACATGCAAAAACAATTCTAGAATTAAGTGATTCTTTATTGTATTGAACACTTATAATAACTAATAACTATTGTGAGACATACTAAATTAACTAAAAATCGTTATTAGTTAACTTATAATAACTTATATTAAATTGAGGAAAATAGTCAATTTGTATTTTACGTAAACCTTCATCTATTGCTTGCAGGGGGACCAAGAGCCGGCCGCCATCAAGCCGACCGGGGTCCAAACCCCGCCGGCCGCCACTGAGACGCCGCCACAACCGAAGCCCACTACTAAACCACCGCCCGTCGCGCCCAAACCACCGGTAACTATTTTGTTTATGGCATATAAATGAGCATACGGATTGATCACCTGATGGTAAGCAATCGGCGTCGCCCATGGACACACGGAACACCACGAAATACAACACTGTGGTTGTGTCGCTATGGTTTTCTGGTCGTCGGTGGTATCACTCCGGTCGAGCCGGCCCACACTTTCAGCAGAGGACGATCTAAAGATGATTAGCCCATGTTTATCCGTGTCCAGGCCCTCCCCAAGTCGCAGCCGCCGACCCTGACCCCGGCGCAGGTGCAACAAAAGCGTCAGTCCCTGGACCTGCAGCAACGACAGCTCGCAGACAAGATGGCGCGCATGGCCGTGTCGGACAAACCCACGACAGGACCTACGGACCAGAAGGCCAAGGTAATAGAGTCGCAGAAGAATTTAGACAGAAGCGCCATAGGATATGTTTCTTTGTATCTCCAGTAATAGGTTGCTTATGTGTCGACGTGCTCCATCGTAGACCGCATCATCGTCTAGCGAGATAGTCAAACGTCGGCCCATCTAATATATATATAATTATATATAGAGGTATAAAGTAAGCAAATGTATAGATAGATTTGCTACAGCAAGACTGTACAGTCGGCGTGGTGGCTGGACAACTGGCTGCCGCGCAACGTGTCGCGAGTTCGATTCTCGCACGGAACAACTCTTTAACATAACATAACGTCACGCCTTTTATCCCCGATGCGGTAGGTAGAGGTGTGTGCATATACACATAACACACAGATCCGAAACAACATTTTGTTGATCACACAAAGAAATCAAGTGTGACTGCCGGGCAAGGGGTCTCGGGTTCGATTGCCAGGTCGGGCAAAGTATTCATCATCATCAACAGCCCATAAATGCCCACTGCTGAGCAAAGCCTCTTCTCACACGGAGAAGGTTTGAGCATTATTCACCACGCTTGCTCATTGCAGGTTGGTGATTTCAAACTAATAAATAGAAAATATAAGTCCAGGTTTCCTCACGATGTTTTCCTTCACCGTTTGTCAGTGGTGTCTGAATAATCTTAAAAAGTACATATAACTCGGATAAAGTCACATTGGTGCTTGCCGTTGATAGGTTTCGAACCCGCGCCCTCATGCATGAGAAGCGGGCGTCTTAACCTCCGGGCCACCACGACGGCAAAGTATTACTGGGTTTTAAAAAAAATCTCAGTAATAGCACGGAGTTTGGGATTGTGCCGGATATATGACAATAGGCTCACCCCCTATTACATGGGACTCATATAAATAGTGAAAAGTAGGTGTTACATTGTACAGTGACATTAAGTGCTGTAATATGCACCTCTGCTTATCCCTTCGGGGGTAAAAGGCGTGATGTTATGTTACGTAGTTCTACAGTGCTTCTGCTAAATATCTATATCAATCTAGAAGTTTTAGACATGAAATGTATTTGTAATAATTTCAGATGTTACAGCGCTCAGTTCCCGTACAAATCGACGTGCCTCCCGGCCTGAAAGCTGAAGGCAAAGTCAATCCCAACGCTATGGAGCAGATACGATTACAGGTACATGTCGTATAAAGGTGCCCCCTCACGTTTTTTTTTGTCGTAGGTGCGTTTACAAACATACAAGTTCACATACACATGACACCCAGACCCGAAACAACAATTTGTGGATCACACAAAGTGTTGTCCCGTGCGGGAATCGAACCCGCAACACGTTGCACGGCAGCCAGTTGCCCAGCCACCGCACCAACCGTGCAGTCGATGTGTAATGCAACGTTATAGATCTTATCATTTTAAGATAAATAAGATGAAATATTCATATTAATATCTTTATTTGCATTCCATAATCAGTAGCAAGCATGATGTAGATATCTTATGTACAAGCGTGAGTGTTCATGACCAAAACTCAAGACCAAAGTAACGAAACCATAAAATGCATATTCATTAATTTAGTTCAATTTTTATAACTAGATGGCGTTGCCGCAATTAAAAGCAAGCTATGGTTTCGTTACATCGATTTGCTTAAGATGGCAATTTTTTGTATGTACTAAGTTCGCACCAAAACGAATAAATATAAACCAGCAGTTCAAGCACTAATTACGGAGTTTCAATTTAACCCCTATTAGTAGCTACATTATGTCAACGTTACTTCGGTAATAAACAATGGTCCATCGAGCCCGGATATCAGACCCGGAATAGTCTGACTTTTTGGTACACACCCCAAGTACTCGCAGTGGATCGCTGCGGCAAAGTACTGGAGATCCCGCAGAGGCCGCCACAGCTTCGTCTAACTTGTTGGACGACTCAGCTTGCGCGGTGGGATTGGTAGTTCAACGGGACGCCACAGAGGGCGCCACCAGTAGTACATCTCAAGAACAATCTTCGAGTTGAAGAGGAGACAGCTTCGTTCAACAAGGTGGACGATAGCAGCTGGGAGTTTAAGTTCAAAGTGACGCCACAGGGGGCGCCACTAGTACATTCCAGTTCAACCGACCAACGTGTTTGTGTGAGTGAAGTGCAATCGTGAGTACAATATTTGATTTATTTAACAGTAGCAGTGACAATTAAAAAACAAGCAATCGGTCAAGCGAATCTGAACTTTATTTTAAGGAAGATTTTAACTTGAACATTTTAGATAGTTATTTTGGTGTTAAGCAATTTTCAACTGTATTTCTATGAACATTTTAACTTTAAGATTTAGTGATAATATTAACTTAGTTTTAAGAGTGCATGTTAGGACTTAGAATAGTTTTATAAAAAACGGGGGAACGGGGAATCCATGCCCGATTTCTACCAGAGCTGAGTTAGTTCCCAAACACTTGTAAAAATTTTCGGATTTTTTTGCGACTTACAAAAATTTCATCAACTTTGTTACAAAGTTACACTAATTAGCTTATATACATAATTATTTTGTTAGTTAGTTTGTTTATCTAAGATGGAAGGCAAAATTAATATTTTAAAAGACCTTCAAACTGTCATTCAAAAGGCTTTGACTAATTTTAAAAAGAGTCCAAAAGAAAGACTTTCTGTAGAATATATTCAGACTAGACTTGAATTACTGGAAAATGA